GCAGTGTATTGGCCACAGAAATTGTTCATTAAGTGTGTGCTGCATGGAAGAATGAATGAATTAATGCATGATTTAAAGAATGAATAAATGCACTCCTGTCTTTTTAATCTACTGCTCAGCTTCCTGATCTTGTAGGCATGAATGCTTAGTGTCACTTGATTCTTGGCATTTCCTCCACTTTCCAAATCAAACCAGACACAGTATATTAATGACGCTTGGCTTTCAATACCTCTGAATCCATTCTAAGTGTAATAAAAAATTTTGCCCATCCTCCTTCAAAACATAAAGGTAAGCAAAAATCAGTCATAAATCATAAAACTAGCCTATAGCTACTACCTATATGATAACCACACCTGGCAGAGAGGTTGGTGGGTTTCACCCAGTGTATTTTAGCCTTTTCTCTTTTTTTGATAATTTCTCCTTGTAAAGTGTAAGACTATAGAACAGGATGTCTTTCTGCCTTTAAGCAACTCATTCACACATTTATAAAATGCCAGTTAAAGTCAGGTGCATTAGTCTGTTTTCACACTGCTATAAAGAACTACCTGAGACTGGGTAATTTATAAAGAAAAGAGGTTTAATTGACTAACAGCTCCACAGGTTTAACAAGAAGCATGACTGACAGGCTTCAGGAAACTTACAATCATGATGGAAAATGAAGGGGAAGCAAGTAGGTCTTACCATGCTTGAGAGAGTGAGGGGAGAAGTGCCATACTTTTAAACCATCAGATCTCATGAGACCTCACTATCACGAGAACAGCATGGGGAGAATCTGCCCCCATAATACAGTCACTTCCCACAAGGTGCCCCCACCCCCCCACCCCCCCCCCCCCGCCCCCCCCGCCCCCCCACCCCCCACCCCCGACACATGAGGATTACAATTTGACATGAGTTTTGGGTGGGGACACAGAGACAAACCATATCAGGTAGCTAAAAAAATCAGTGTTAAAGAAGAACAATGCAGCATTTAAACAGTGTTCACATTGGTTTTATTTATTGTTACACTTTAATAAACTAAAGTATGAAGTAGCAGAGGAAATGGCCCTTATGGCTACTTTGGATGAAAAACTACATGACACCTGAGTAAATAGGGAAGTCATCCACCCACCTAGCCCCATGTGTAACCAATTAGGAAACTAATTACAGGCAAACACTGTGCCCCATTTAGATAAGAACAGTGGATTACTACCTTTCCAAAGTATGAAGAACATAAGCTATAACTAAACAGCTTTTTAAGTAAATAAATTTGAGCCGTTTTGGTTCAATTACAACATAATCATTACTAGTTTTAAATCATCATGATATTGCTGTATAGCTATGAGAGTTTACTCATCCCTAATTGTTGGCTGGGTGTATATTATTATTGCTGAGATGAAAAGGAAATTCTCAAGCTGCAATTAATAGCTGCAGTACACATCTGAGCCAATTCATATGTATGATGAACATATACGTACATTTCTAAAAATATTATCTTGTTCAACTCAAATGTGTTATTTCTTTCAATTGATTATATTAGTTTACAGTATCAATTTGGCTTAGTAAAGAGAAGCTATAGGTCTTTAGGTGTTCTCAATGATTTAGATTGCTCCTTCATTTTGTGAAAGTTTCACAGTCTACCAGGATCTGTAGAAATGACAGCTGAAGGGAGATTCAGGCAGGCAGGGAGAGAACATCCTAGTGATGACTAGCTGGGTTTTAGAAAGAGGGCATACTCCTGAGTAATTGATCCGAGGGAATTTTAATTAAATTAGTGTGACCAGCTAAATCTTGCTAGGTAGTATACAGCTGAGCTGGAAAATTATATAGAGAAGTTTATTTGCTCCAGACAAAATATTTTTAGGGTATCAGGTAAATATACAAATTAATAATGTTAATTTTGCTCCAAAAAAAAAATTCAATAAATTCAATTCTAGCCAATTCAATAAATATTTCATTCTTTTGCTCATACAATAAAGGCTAATTATCCCATTTTATGAGAGTTTAGCTTCTAATTTCAACTGAGATTATAATGTTTCTGTAGCCAATGGAATAATTTCCCCCATGAGATTCATAAAACCTAAATAGGAATCTCTTGAGTCCTCTACAAAATGCAAATAAAGCTGAGGCCCAAAGCATAATGAGGCTGCAGTGACAGGCCTTGTCACAGTACTCCTTCTAGGATGCCAATCAGCAAAGGAACAAGTGTGGCAGGAAGGACACCTAGTCAGTGCACTAGTCAGGCCTCGTTTGATACACGAAGGGTAATCTGTAGGCTCATGTGAGCTCTTGGCCTCATTCACGAGTGTTGGCTCTACCAAGGCTTTTCTAGGCCCAAGTTTCTGCTATAAAATACAAGACATGAAACTTGAAGTAAACTTAAGAAGTAATATATTTATTTCTGTAAAAGGAGGAAATAGTATAGAAAGATCCCCAAGGGCCCATCCAGGTCAGGACTATGTCCATGCCCTAAAATGCCTGCCTCTGGGACATCACCCCTTGGAAACACAGGGAATGAGGAGTGTGGGTGCAAGTGCTGGTGGAGGGTGGAACAGGATACAGAGATGTGAGGTCACTTCCCAGCCACAGTCATGTACTCCGGCTGTCATCAGTACTTCGGGTTTTCTGCTAAGCGGGCACAAAAAGGTTTCATTCTGAAGAATTATCCCACTATTTTTACAGTGATGAAGGAAGGATAGGCAGTCCTCTACAAGGGACTCCAGGAGCTGTATCAAACTCTAAAAATACTGACGTTTAACCTGACAGTGTTGTCTCATCTGAGCCTCTGTGCAGAAGCGAAGGGTGATAATTAAATAGGAAAAGTGTGATGATAGAGGTCTGTAGATCTGAATCTGTGTGTGTGTGGTGGGGTGGCTCAGGAATGGGGCTCAAAATAGAGCCTGGGAGACTGCAATTGGGAAGCAATGTTCCCTCAGACACAGTAGGTACACCTAATGTACAACTGTTCTGGTGGACCTGTGCCCAGGGTTCCCACATAGCGAACGGGGTCTCATCTTTTGTGAAATATGACCCTCTGGCCAGGTGGGTCAGGCATGAGCAGAGAGACTATGGCTGAACTTGACGGCTCCTTAACAGACCCCCACCCTCAGTCTCTTATGTATGGTCCAAAGCCACAGTCTCCAGAGCCACAGAACAGCCTTAGTTTAATGTTGCCTAGAGGAGTCATAGTCCAACTTTTTCAACTTTCTTGGCATTCTTTTCCCAGTTGTACATTCATATTCTTTTAGACCATTTCTCAAAGCATGTTTTGCAAAATATCAACCTGCCAATACCTCTGAAGTAATCATTTAAAATTCCATTTGGGAATTGTTGCTCAAGAACAGTAGTTGTCAACTCTGGCTGCACATGAGAATCACAGGGAAAAAAATTATTTTAATACCAGTTATCTGGGCCCCATACCAAAAGACACTGGTTTGATTGATCTGGGTTATTCCAGGCATCTGCATGTGTTAGAAGCTCCCCACAGTGACTTGAGTGAATTAGAGTCTCTACCGGTGAACAAGTGTATGTCTGGAGGCAGGTGGGTGGGATGAGGCCACCTGAGTCCTGCTGGTAATCAGGAAGAAGGTCTCCAACACACACTGAGTATCTATTAAAGAGACTAGGATGGTTCCTGAGCCTGGATTCCATAGCTATGCTTTCAGAGGACTGCTCTGTCTCTCTCATTTTTGTTTTTGTTTTTTTTTTTCTTTCCAGAAGACAGGGCCTTCCCAATTTCACTCCTCTAACTAATAGATTCTCACAATTCAGTGTGCATAAAAGTCACTTGATGGAATTTTACTAACACGCAAATTCCCAGATGTTATCCTGGAAATTTTGATTTAGTAGCACTAGGAAGGTGCTGGAATATATATTTTGCAATTACTATATGATTTTGATGAAAGTGGTTGAGGGGCTATCTTAGAGGAAACACTACCTAAGCCTTCACCAAAGGTATAATCTGCTACCCTTGGGAATGTTCTGTGTCTTAAATTTTGGATCCAGCACCTACTGTTTGGCCCTGGGTGTAATTATTAACCTTTCTGTGCCTCAATTTCCACATCTGTAAAATAAACGAAATAAAAGTGCTTTATAGGGGTTGTGAGGATTAAAAGAAGTTAAGATAGAGGTCATGGTAATGGCCTGAGGTAACCAGGCGATAGATCTGGATAGCTTAGGGAATACGTGTGTGTGTGTGTGTGTGTGTGTGTGTGTGTGTGTGTGTGTGTGTGTTTTGAGAAGAGCCTTGCTCTGTTACCCAGGCTGGAGTGCCGTGGCACGATCTCAGCTCACTGCAACCTCTGCCTCCCGGATTCAAGTGATTCTTGTGCCTCAGCCTTCTGAGTAGCTGAGATTAGAGCCGTGCGCCACCATGCCTGGCTAATTGTTTTTGCCTTTTTAGTAGAGTCGGGGTTTCATCATGTTGGCCAGGCTGGTCTAGAACTCCCACTCTCAAGTGATCCACCTGCATTAGTCTCCTAAAGCACTGGGATTACAGGCTTGAGCCACCGTGCCAGGTGGGAATGCATCTTCCTTTTCTGTTGGCGCTGGTCCTCTACTAAGGCAGTAGTTCAGTCATTTACATGCCCTCTTTCTATCTCAGCCTTCCCACCACATTTCCCCACTCAAGGCTCACTCCAGACATGGTTGGAAGAAACTTTACTTCTATCCCTGTGATTTGTTGTAAAGAAAAACTAAAAAGTATCCAAATTGTGCTTTATAAAGGAATTCCTATAGTGGAGATTAAACATTCGGTCGAATGATGAAGATATGTCATTAAGCCTCATCAGACTCCATTAGTTCATTTCAATCAGCAGGTGACAACTGACAACTGCACATTTTAAAACCTAGACCTGTGATGACACCCAGTGGCCAAAATGTCAACTACTGAAATTTTAAAAATATATCAAGTATTTTCATCATCATACAAATAATATTGCAACTACTTTAAATTTTGAGAGCTATTCAGTAAAGCATGAAATGGTTCTACATTGGAAATATCATCAATGAAATGTGAACAAACCAACATTCCTTAGTACTGTATTTAGTAAAACTGTCAGCCAGTTCAGGCAGACAAAAGCACCAGCTTATCAAAGGCGACATATTCCTAAAAAAAAAAAAAAAAAAAAAAAAAAGTTTTTAAACTTGGAAAAAGTAATTTTTTATCAGTAGCAAAGAAACAGAAGACCAAATACAGGAGAGTACAACAGAGATTATTAAGACTTCACACACAGCCCTTTAAATAATTTGAAAATCATTAACTGGCTTAGCTTGGCAATTCAGTAATTCAGTTAACAGTAATTACTTTACCCAGTACCCATCCGAAAAGGTATAAGATATTTTGTACATTCTTTCACTCGCTCATTCAAAAATATTTCTTAGTTTCCTGGGTTGAGAAGCAGACTTGGAGAGGGAGGTTAATGTCCATGACGTTTCTGAAGGCAGGCACTTGGGAGCGCGCTTGCAGATGGAAAACAAAGGAGGAGGGCTGTGGAGAGAGAGGAGATAGTTCCTACACAGTCTCAGTTGACATCACAGAGAACTCTGAAGCTAGCCTGGCCTCTCAGTCTTGTCCCTTCTTGGGGTGGTGAGGCAGGGCTTTTATCCTCTGCCTCCATCCAGTCATTGGATGTGGGCTACTCCCAGAAAGGGAGTAACTTTAGGTGAGGCAGTTCTGAAGAGGGCTGATAGCTGAGGCTTGTCTACTGACAACACTCCCAGCAGCTGGAGGTGATAAGACCTTCAGTTTCAAGGGTGATCTGCGTGGCCCACCGTAGCATCCACTACACTAACACAGTATGATGCCAACAAAATAAACAGGCTTTTTGATCGTCAATAACTTGAAGATATGCATTAAGCCAATGAACACTTTGATATATACTTAGGGCTGTGAAGGAAGAGAAGGCTTTAAGAGAAGAATGGGCAGCGTTTGGGGAAAGGAGAGGAGGGCTAATGCCTGGCTATCTACTAGTTTCATAGTCAGGGCAGAGTGGCAGGAAGGATACAAAAGAGAACTCTAACACTTGGACTGGGAATTGCTTACCTTATTATGTGGGCAGCATGGAGTCACTGTGTTTTACCAAGGGAACAGAAAGCATAAGGTAGACAACTAAAGTGGTAGTGGAATAGATTGAATTAGAAGGAAATTGAGCATTTCAGAGTCAACACAGGAATCAAGCATTTTCTTCTGAAGTTCATCTCCAGTTTGGTCTTGTGTTTCTGGTCTCATTTCTCACCATTACCTTCTACATCCTTTCAGGCCTGTACGCGATGGCCTCTTCCGTTATCCGAATACAAACACTAACTCCATGTTTTTGTATTGTCCTTTGACACCGATGAAATTTTCCAGTCTTTAAGATCCAGCTCAAATTTCACCTCCTTTTGAAAAGTTTTTTCTACTTCAAGCTCTTTAAGGAGTTCTCTCTCTACCCTTATTTTCAAGATAAAGCAAAAATGTCTTAATGTAACTCACAAAAGCTGGTACCATCTGGCCTCTGTTTATTCACCTCACCAGACTCATCTCATCCCATTCCCCTATGTTTGTCTGCCAACGTGGTGAACTTGTGCCTTATTTGGCTTTTTATTAGGTTGGTGCAAAAGTAGTTGTGATTTTTTTGCCATTAACCACAATTATTTTTCACCAACTTAATAATTTCTGGAAATATAATAATATCTTTGGCGTGTGAAATGCTTCATTGTTAAATTGAGAAAAGGTAAACGGTCCTCACAAATAATATTACTTTTGATAGCTCTTCTCTTTCAAAGAATCATGTTTTAATACAGAGTATTGGCTGGGTGCAGTGGCTAATGCCTGTGGTCCCACTATTTGGGAGGCCAAGGTGGGTGGATCACTCCAGCATAGGACCTCAAGACCAGCCTGGTAATGCAGTGACACCCCATCTCTACAAAAAATAAATAAATAATAATAACAAAGAGTATTTCTTTTCTAAGTTCACTGGTGTACTAAGAAATTGAAGACTTCTGCACTACGATTTGTAGCCAGTCATCTCCAGAGCCTTGAATGCTCATGTTAATCATAAATATATGTTTCTTCTATGCGAAATATTTCTTCTAAGTAAAACATTAGTACATTTGCAACTGTAGAATTAGAAGGTATAATAAAGATTGTCGATTATAAGCCTCTCAGGTTATAGTCAAATAAACTGGCTAGGGGGTGTTAAATAGCTTGAAACACATTCCTTAGCTAGTTCATGACAATGTTGAAGCTAGAATCGAAGTTCATTTATTGTCAATAATAATAAACATTTAGAGGCCTTACATGAGCCAGGTACTACTCTAAACATGCTACCTATATTATCTCATTTAATCCCACAATCCTATGAGGTGATACTGTTATTATCTTTAATTAGAGCAAGGAAGCTTGGGTACGGAAAGTTTGGCTAAACTTGTCCAAATTGCAAAATGCATAATAATTATAATAAAGGCTCTCAAAAAGATCTTTCTCTTTTCAGCTTCTCAAATTTCCAAACCCATATATATCAACATATATAATGCATTAAAAATTAAACTCCTGCTATTGGGAAGTAGACTACATCTTCTGACCTCTTGATCTGAGCTGAATGGTCAGCAACTTGACACTTTGACCACTAAAACTGAGGCTGAAGTAACATTGTGTGACTTTTGGGGAAGTTATCAAAAGGCGCTGCCGCATCTAATTTCACCTTCTAGCTGCTCAGAGACTGCCATGTTAAGACACCTAAGCCAGTTTCCTTAAAATCGAAAGACTGCATGAAAAGAATGGCCTGGATGCCAGTAGATATAGGTGAGGGAAACTCACTTGGACTGTTCATCCATTCCCACTATCAGCTGACTACAGCCACGGAGTGAGACCACAAGAACAACTCTACTTACCTCAGCCCAAATTACTGATCCATAGAATTATGAAAAACTAGTTATTGTTTTAAGCAAACATGCTTTAAAATAATTTGTTATATAGTCATTGATAACTGACAGAGTGTATGTTATTGTCGTTTGATCAATTTAGCATGGTATTTCTTTTCCTATCATTTTGTTTTTCACTTTTCTGAGTCTTTATATTTAAAGTAGGTTCGTGGCAGCCAGCATGCAGTTAAGTCTAGTTTTTTTTTTTTTTTTTTTTTTAAATCCAACCTGATAGTCTCTCATGTGTTTAGAACATTCACATTTAAAGTGATTATTGATACAGTTGCATTAAAATGTACCATCTTTGTAATTGTTTTCTATTCATTGCATTTGTTCTTTGTTTCTTTCTCCTGCCATTTTTCTGACTTCTCTAGGATTAATTAAGCATTTTGCATGATTGGATTTTATATCTTCACTTGGTGTATCATATACATTTTATTTTAAAATTTAGTGATATCCCTAGAGTTTACAATATACATTTTAAAATAAGTCCACTTTCAAACAACATTACATAACTTCACTTTAAAAGAGTGCACTCACATTTCCTCCGTTCCTTGTGACATTGCTATCAATTATTACACTTATCCATATGCTATAGTCACCCTGTACAGTGTTACTAATATTACTTTAAATAGCTATCTTTTAGATCAATTAAAATATTATTATTTCATCAAGGCCCAAGGCAGGTGTTGATGCGATGTGATTTCTGCCCAGTGCTCTGAATGTCGAAGTGAAGAAATTCAATGAAGTGTGGGTAAATGGCGGGAGTAACTATGACTCTCTTAAGGCAGCCAAATGCCTTATCATCTAAGTAGTGACATGTATGAATGGATGAAAGAGATTTCCACTGTCCCTACCTACTATCCAGCGAAACCACAGCCAAGGGAACGGTCTTGGCGGAATCAGCGGAGAAAGAAGACCCTGTTGATCTTTACTCTACCCTGGCATGGTGAAGAGACATGAGAGGCGTAGAATAAGTGGGAAGCCCCCGGCATTCCGCCCCACCTTCCCCTCCCCGTGAAGGGGCGGGGTGGGGTCAGCCAGCCTTATGGGCCTCCAGTGAAATACCACTACTCTGATCATTTTTTCACTGACCCAGTGAGAGGGGGTGGGCAGGGGTGAGCTCTCATTTCTGGCGCCAAGTGCCCGACTGTGCACAGGAAAATTTATGGCAATAAATGCCCACATGAGAAGCAAGGAAAGATAAAAAAATTGATACCCTATCATCAAAATTGATAGAGCTAGAGAAGTAAGATTAAAAAAAAAAAATCAAAAGCTAGCAGAGGACAAGAAATAACTAAGATCAGAACAGAATTAAAGTAGATAGAGACACAAAAAAACCCTCCAGAAAATCAATAAATCCAGGAGCTGTTTTTTTGAAAAGATCAACAAAATAGACCACTAGCCAAACTAATAAAAAAGAAAAGAGAAGAATCAAATAGATGCAATAAAAAAATGACAAAGGGGATATCACCAATGATTCCACAGAAATACAAACTACCATCGGAGATTACTACAAACAACTCTATGCACATAAACCAGTGAATCTGGAAGAAATGGATAAACTCCTGGATACTTACACCCTCCCAAGACCAAACCAGGAAGAAGCTGAATCCCTGAATAGACCAATAACAAGGTCTGAAGTTAAGGCATCAATTAATAGCCTACAAACCAAAAAAAGTCCAGGACCAGACAGGTTCATATCTAAATTCTACCAGACGTACAAAGAGGAGCTGGTAGCATTCCTGTTGAAACTATTCCAAACAATACAAAAAGAGGGAATCCTCCCTAACTCATTTTATGACACCAAAATCATCCTGATACCAAAACCTGGCAGAGACTCAACTAAAAAAGAAAACTTTAGGCCAATATCTATGATGAACATCGATACAAAAATCTTCAATAAAATACTGGCAAACCGACTGCAACAGCACATCAAAAAGCTTATCCATCACGATCAAGTAGGCTTCATCCGGGGGATGCAAGGCTGGTTCAACATATGCAAATCTATAAACGTAATTCATCACATAAACAGAACCAAAGACAAAAACCACCTGATCATCTCAATAGATGAAGAGAAGGCCTTCAACAAAATTCTACAGCCCTTTACGCTAAAAACTCTCAATAAACTAGGTATTGATGGAATGTATCTCAAAATAATAAAAGCTATTTATAACAAACCCACAGCCATCATCATACTGAGTGGACAAAAACAGGAAGCATTCCCTTTGAAAACTGGCACTAGACAAGGATGCCCTCTCTCACCATTTCTATTTAATATAGTATTGGAAGTTCTAGCCAGAGCAATCAGGCAAGGAAAAGAAATAAAGGATTTTAAATTAGGAAAAGAGGAAGTCAAATTGTCTCTATTTGCAGACAACATGATTGTATATTTAGAAGACACCATTGTTGCAGCCCAAAATTTCCTTAAGCTGATAAGCAACTTCAGCAAAGTCTCAGGATACAAAATCAATGTGCAAAAATCACATGCATTCCTATACACCAACAACAAAGAGCCAAATCATGAGTGAACTCCCATTCAAAATGGCTACAAAGAGAATAAAATACCTAGGAATACAACTAACCAAGAATATGAAGGACCTCTTCAAGGAGAACTACAAACCACTGCTCAAGGAAATAAGAGAGGACACAAGCAGATGGGAAAACATTCCATGCTCATGGTTAGGAAGAATCAATATCGTGAAAATGA